CACCGTATTTCTCCGCCGTACAATTCAGGTGCGCCGGAGCCCGGCCGCACGGCGGTACCGGTAGCCGGAGGTGCTCGTACCAGGAATAATGATACCGCCTCAGATGTGTACCGGCCGTCTGCAGATTGGGACCGGCCCGTTGCATGGAGATTCCTGCCGACCAAAAAGATTCCCGCGAGTACAATCCTGAATCATGATGTAGCGCCCTGGAGGCTGGCCCGCCCGGCCCCTGACATGGCGGCAATGCAGGATTTTCAGGCACAGCTTCTCGACCGTCGATCACGTTGAATGGACGGAAGGCATCATACTTTCCAGTTGGCACTTTCTGAGATCGTGATTTGCCGTGTGCCGGCATCCGAGTCTCTTTCGATCGCGCAGTCGGCCTGTACGGATTAAGTCGAAAGCTCATGTAGGGAGTCGTCGGCATGTTGCGTTAGAGCTATCCACACGACCGACAAAGGTCTCTGATTCGCTCGTCTTTCTGACAGATCTATAAATTTTCGGGCCGGAGAGGCCGTCCCAAACGGCCCACATTGCCCCACAAGTTTCCAGGGCTGAAGTTGGCCACGTCGCACCCAGACGATTGGTAAGAACTTGCCCAAGCGACACCAACTTGAAGCTGTGGCCCCAGCTAACCCGACAATTTTGAACAGCGTGTGAACCTGAGCGACGCAGGCCTCTAATCATCCCATAAAAGTTCGATGCATCGATTAGGTATCCATTGAATTCCTGAGACTTCGGATGTAGTCCTACCATGGCTTTCACGTCGGCTTTGATGGACGCTAGATTTTGCAATGACGTCTGTCTGTCGTAATCAATTGCATTGACATTGTCATCGAGTCTTTTTGGAAAAATAGAACGACTCGACTCCGCACGCACGCTGCAATGATGTCGAATGACAATCACAACCCTGTTCTGCTTCATCATGTACTACAAGTAGAAGATATTAAGTTGAAGGATGAGTGCTGTAGAGTTGCAAAGCCAGTTTTTGACACTTTTTTGACACAGCCTTCTATGTTGTAGAATCTTCAGATTCAATGATATCAATTCAATTCGATCATCTCTTCCTTTCTAAAGTTGGCTACCCGTTTGCATCCGATAACTAACGGCTCTTGGCAGCACCCACTTTTTGAATGTCGAGGCCCCTAACGAGGTGAGGGTGCACTCAGCTTTGAGATCTTTGTCTGCATAAAGAAACGACATTTTGTCAGTGGAAGATCGACCTTCGCAAGATTCGATATTCCTCAAAGCCATTCATAGCCATGCGTCATGTCAAAAGATGTCGGGAGGCCTGATAATGATCAGTCGTTTCCACTATGCTCTGTGGAAACAGTCCTTCTTCTCGATCAGCAACGGATTCTCCGAACCATGATTGGGCTGATCCGATCTCAATGCCACGAAAGCAGCAAGCAAGGGCTGAAGAGCCCGATAATGCAGAAAACAACAGGGTGACTCTCAAAATAGCGGTCAGAAGTCTGTACGAATAACCGCAAGACCGAGGAGCTGGCACCACTTCAAAAGCACCGCTTCTTCACAGTTGTCGGAAGCAGAACGAACATCTATACGGTTTACGAGCTGGCACGGACCCTGAGGTCCGAAGCACTCCACCGAATCCCTTGCACGTAAACGTTTGGAGAGGAAGTACAACAGGAAGTGAGCGAGCATGGCTGCAAACAGACTGAGCACACGAAAGTGCCCTTGGGCCGTTCGAAGTTAAATCCCGGTTTCCGGTCCCCGACCGACCCAAAATCCGAAGGATTTTGGAAAAAAATATGATCATTATCCCTTCCAGGTCTTCAACTCTTCGGATTTGAGTCCAAGTTCTATGTGGTTACCAGGAAACCGGGAGAACTTTTTGGCTTTTGCCCCAGGATTTTCGAGATTTTGCGCCTTATCAGCATAATGTGACCATAATATAATTATTATTTTTTCCCGACCGACCGACCCACCCAAAAGGGGGTAGGACCGGAAACCGGGATACAACTTCGAATGGCCTTATGGATCACTTACTGACGTCATACCAAGTGCGTCAAGGCTCTCCAAGTCCCGATACAACAAGTTCATCATAACCATCACGTGACGTCATGACCCCTCACCGAAAACGTCAGCACGGGCGCCGACTTTGCCACCAGCTGCGTCCTCTTCCGTCCGCTCTGGCTCGGACTCCCCGCCGTGTTGGTGATGTCCCAAAATGTGCGCTTCTTTCCCAACCCCAAAAAGTCGTGCCCGGGGGACACCGTCAGGGGGGGGCTGCCCGCCCTCATTTTCGCCCCCCCGGCGCGGGGGATCTTGCACCAGGAGGGGGTCTCGCACCCCGGACGGACGTCTTCTTTCCCCACCCCCACCGACCCGCCCCACTTTCTATTTCCGCCCTCATTTTTCTCCTTCATGACCTGCCGAATGAAATCGTCCTTTTGCTTCAGCTTCACCGCGTGATCGTGACTTAGCGCCGCGACCGTAGCCTCAAACCCGCGCTCCTTTTCTCGTAAAATCCGCACCTCCTCCTCGAGCTCCCACAATTTTCTTGCCGCCGCGCGATTCCCCGCCCGCTCTAGTTCCTCCTCCAGCCCCAACACTCGGTCGCTCAGGAACTTCTCGCGGCCCGCGGCAGCCTCGAGCTCCCGCTCTAGTTCCTCCACGTGGCCTTGCAACCGCGCCTCCGCCCCGGTCTTTTTAACCGCGGACCCGGTTCTATCCAAAACCGCTTCCAAGTCGCGGACTCTTTGTTGGAGCTCCGCCGACTTTTGCTCCAGCCCGGTTGCTTGCAACCGGTACTCCTCGCTCTCGTTCTCCAGACTGCGGACCCGTCTCCGCAGCGCCTCGGCGTCGATCCCGGCCGCCCGGCTCTCCGCTTGCGCGACGCGCCGCTGCATCTCGGCCTTGCTCAGCTGTTCAACGAGGGCCCGGTTTTCCTCTTCTAGCGCTCGTTCCCGCTGCGAAACGCCCCCGGGGGAGCTTTGAGCCGGGGGTTCGTTAACCTCCCGGTTACCGTAACCAGTGCCAAACCGAGAGGAGCTCCGGACGAAGGGGTTTGGCGGCTCTGGGTGTGCGCCGTACGGGCTCGCATACGGCGGGGGGCGGTTAGCAGACTGGGGCGTGCCCATGAACGTTCCCCCCATTTCGGAGGTGGTCGGAATGTTTCCGCTGTTCAGGACTTTTTGTAACTCTTCGAGCTGTGCGCGCAGGTGCACGTTCTCTTTCTCGATGGACGAGATGACGTGAATGTGCTCCTCGGCGGTCGGGGGGACGTCATCGCACGTCACCTGCGGCGCCTGCGGAGACAAGGTCATAAATGATTGAGATTGGTGCATGTATATTTTCTCGCACATTGAAATCGTTAAGATACTGATTGTACTTTCACAACGTTCTGTTGGGAGATCAAGAGGAAGGAGAGATGTCTTGTATCGAAGAGTGCTGTTACGGTTGACTGTAATAGAAAGGTAAAAGTGGTTCAATGGCATATTTGAGAGGGGTTCGTGACTTCCCGTTTGACTGATCTGCAAGCAGGTCTTCAAACAGATTACATGACTCAGTCATGCTCCCGGTGAGGATAAAAGGGATTCTTGCGTAAGATCGCAGCCATCGGAGTCGTTCTCCCTTTGACGGATCCAGCCACGCTAAGGGGCTCTCAAAGCGATCGCTCCACTTAGCATCAAAGCAGCTCAACGTCACGCCTAAGAGCTTTCTGTAATGAACGAACCTATCAGGAAGCTCGGTCAGGTTTTCAGATTGTCCGCTGTACTTCTCTACACGGACAACCCGTGACCTGCATTAGCAGAGTGGCCGCGCTTCTAAGTGTCTGGGGCTGAGCTTCCTGAAAGTCGGCACTGAGGAACAATTCCAAGTAAATGCACGAAAAAGAACCGAACGCGGGACGCACCTTGGTCCGGATCTCTTTTGCGCGGTCCGCCCAATGAAGCGTGTTCTGGGTCTCGCTCAGTTGCTGGTGCGCGGGGCTGATGTTGGCGATCATGGCGGTGTGACATGCGCCGCCCAAAGAGTCCTGTGGATGATGGCTGAAAGTGATCAAAACCCTTCAATTGACGTACATCTAACTGCGAAGAATTGTTGAAACGCCTGCGTCTGTTGAGCAGGAGGCATCGTTTGAAAAGTGGTCAAGCTTCCAATATCAGACTCTCGCACCTTTCGGCGCCACCTTTGATCCGCTGTTGGGGCGATTCATGTGAAGCGGACGACCACCTTAAAATGCATAACAAGCGGATGCGCATGCAACAGAAAACTAAGTCATGCCTCAAAGTGAGCTCTTCCGGGACGCAACTCAATTTGAGAGCTCGTACAGCTCCTTTGCTCTCGCTCTTGAAACTTCTTCAGATCGTCTTGTGCCTCCCGTCGAAACGAACGGGATTAAATTAGCAGAATGCAAAGCCCATCTCAAAAAGCAAAGCAAAAGCGACATCGAAAACACAAAAAGAGGAAGGTCCCCACCTTGAGCAGCTGTGTGAGCTTGCTGTTGCGGTACGGCACGTGGCCCTTCCCGTCGACCAGCGCACGGATGCAACTAGAGAGGGCGAGCAGGCTCTTGTTGATGTTCGCGCCCTCAAGACTGCGCACGGTGCGCGCGTCCGTTGCGAGAGCTCGCTCCGATCCCGCCAGATCGATCAGCGACAGCTTGCCGCAGCGCCGCGCACGGCCGCCGGTCGCCGGGCTGCGCGCGGTGCATTCGACGAAGACCTGGGAGGACAAGTGTCAGGCTAAGATTGGAGGGTTGATCAGCGACAGTTTGCAGCGCCGCGCGCGGCCGCCGGTCGCCGGGTTGCGCACGGTGCATCTGACAAAGACCTGGGAGGAAGACACGTGTCAGGTTGAGATTGGAGGGTTGTTCAGCGACAGCTTGCCGCAGCGCCGCATGCGATTGCTGGTCGCTGAGTTACGTGCGGTGCATCCGACCAGGACCTGGGGGAGGACACGTGTCAGAATCTGAGTGGCGGAGAGCAGGGGTTGGGTGCAGCAGGCAGTATGCCTTTGACCAATAGGTGCTGCAAAGCACACGGCCACAGGTTGCACGGTTCGGTGCAGTGCACTCGACAAAGACCTGGGAGGGGACACGTGTTGAGCTAACGGGGAAAACCTGTAAAACGGGTTTTCTGGGGCAGCAGGCATTATGCCGCTCAAAGGTAGGAGACAGTAAGCACGTGATTACTAATGGGGCTGTTGCCCCCTGCTTCGCTCCACACTTTTTGAAGGTTTGGCTCTTCGCTCCAATCCCTTTCGGGGAGCGAAGAGCCTATCTCCGAAGGAGATTCGAGCGAAGTAGGGGGCAACAGCCCCATTTCTCGGGATGACATCACGAAGACCATTTTTCCTGCGAACACTGCCAAGTCCCGAGGGATAGTGTAAGCAACTTCGGTTGTGACTCGACGCTGAGACCGATGCTTAGGTTGGAACACCGCAGCTGAAGGGCCTCACCCCTTAGAAATGGTACGAGCCCTTGGGTTGTGTGCAAACAAGAGAGATTTCCACATGACTCGAAAGCCTGGAACGTCTGGCGCTCTTTTCGGAAGATAACAGACGGCGCACAGAATCACACAAAACCAACAACCAATAACGACAGTGAAAAGCGCGGAATTCCAACCTTATGGCTTTGTTTCTTTTGTCAACATGAGCAACTCACTTGGAGGATGGCGTGGGAACGGGACGAGGTCTCGTTCGAGCGCGTGGCCTCGGTGGTCCTGTTCTGGTTGCCGCGCTGCAGCAGTGACATCACCTCGACCGCCGATGACGCCGTGAATTGGGTTAGGCCAGCAGCGGTGATGCCCTGAATGAAGAAGGTTCTTAGTTAAGATAGGATGGTTCTAGGTAGAATATAGTCATGGCCCGGGGAACGGGTAGGGTTAGTTTGGGGGTTAGGGCGGGTACGGGTGCGAAACGAGTTCATCTGTTGGCTAGGCTTCCCCAGGAACTGTTACTATCCTACCTAGAAAGATTCCTACCTAAACTGTAGGAGTATCTGAAGGGGAGATTCTAGAACAAAACTGTTGGGATCGCGTTTGCGGAAGGGCTTGGCTTCATGTCCGACCCGAAGGAGATGCGCAGGGTCGACGTCGACTCCTCGTCTGGGCATGTTGTTGGATCAAGAAGGAGATCCGGTTGCATTCCTGAGCTGAATATTCACCACAAGTGTCGCCAAGGGTGAACATTGACCGCCAGATTCGGATCATCGACCGAGGCCGTTCACTGCGCTTGTGTCGAGCGGGGGGCTTTTTAAGGACCGTTACTGTCTCGGACGCCGTTCGAGTAATCAGCCATGACAGATCGGGAAGCAGGTTTACGACTTTGCTGCACCAGATTTCAGACCAAGACAGTGCAGGCGAAGCTGTCGCAGCTGCTTATGGCAATACTTGAAAAAGGCGGTTCACCATTGCAAGGAGGCGGAGTACTTGGATGCCAAGGTTGGCAACGAAAAGATCTTAAGCTCACTGTCGAGAAGGTTCCAAAGGGTGCGAGGACAGGTCTTAGACAAGAGAGCATGCACAAGTCGGGAAACACTTGATTCCGGCCACGTGACCTCTGGACGATTGGGTGACAAGATGTGGATTGACACAAAGATCAGGAAACTCGTTGTAACATGACCTCAAAATTCTGAAAACTACCGTACCAATTTGAGAAATCAGCAGAATTTCTTTCCATTCGATGCAAGTCGAAAAAGAGATTGTTTGAGAGGCTTGCTCAGCTTCATTCGGATCCCCCCCTCAAACCTGCCTTAGAAAGGCAAAGATACGCGTTTCGCACGTTGGTTCGAAAATTGCTTGGCAGCTTGCTCTTTAGGTGGAATGACTTTGTTAATAAATTTGCATCGAAGGTGCCGATCTTGAAAGTTGGTCCAGTGATCTGAGCCCCACCTGCTCTCCGTCCCGCAACACGAGCGGCCGCCCGGGTGCCAACAGGTCCTTCACAGTCTCGTTGTACACTTCCAGGTATGATAGCTTAACGGACCGCTCCTCCCCTGTCGTACTTCGCTGCGCGAGCCGCTCAAAGAGGTCCTGCAAATGCAGCAGGAAACGCAGCCGTTCAGACTTGTCAAGAGCAGCATCGGACACCGGAAAGTCGAAAAGGGACGAAACTTGAAGAAAATAAGAAAGAGATATGAGAAATGTGCAAGCGGAGAACCATTCAAGAATTGGAGAGATAGGTAAAAGACTGCTTACGGGCCATGTCAGCTTGCTTATCATTGATAACCAAAGTAGCTTCTTTAGCATGTGATTGTTTGCATAGCTGCACATCAGGTTGGCGGGGTGATAGCAAGCTCCTTTTATATTCGAGAAGGTTAACTCAATTACAGATGACCCAGCATAAAAAGACAGCAGACAGGCCCAAAACGTTCAACCCTTACTTCAGACCAATCAGCAGATCTGCACATAGCACTCCCAAACTGCCCGCCTTTGGAAACTGAAGAACCGAGGCAGCTACTCCTAATATAAGTTCAGTTTCTGTCAATTCCGCTTTGAGGCCCCCGCGGGAGGCAGCCCCTCTCCAGCACTCGTACCTCAAGACGTGAGCGACTCTGCAGCGTCTAGGAGATTGTCGCAGTCTTTTTGCTTCTTTCCTCGAATACGAGCACACACGGCCTAGTTATAATGCCATCTGGTTGACAATCAACCCGTGAACCACACTCTTTTTCAGATAAATTTAAGTTCAAATAAAACTTATGCTCGGTTACCTGGAGGGCGAGGACCATGACCCCTGGGTCCCGCGTCCTCCCCAGCATCGTGTGCGTCTTCCCCGCTCCTGTCGCGCCGTAACAGAAGACGGAGGCGTTGCGCCCCTCCAGGACCACCTCGACCAGGGGTGCGGCGCTGCAATAAAAGGGATAGTCAATGTCTGCTTACTGGACTGGCTCCAGGAGCAGGGCTACGTGGCTGCTCGAAAGAGAATGTATGCGACTTTTGCTCTGCAGCGATGGGGCAGATACACTACTGTATGTGGCAACCTCTTGACAGCGTGCCCCTTTCAAACGATAAATGATAGCGCCCAATGAAAGAAGCCTGACTCCTTGCTGCACCTTTAGAATAGGACAGATTCATACAGATATGTCTATCTAAGGAAGTTAGCCTCCTGATTAGATTATACAACCACGAAAGCAGACAGGATGATATGGTTGAAGACTTTTGCAGCTTGACGAAACACGTTGCGCCGACATGCATCCTTACAATGGTCGCCTACCAGGCCACATATTGCCTGTTGTTATCACAAAAGAACTGCTGACTTCTGCCACTCACCATAGCCTATAAACTTCCTGCTGCGTTGCAGTCTCTGGAAAGGCCACGTCGAACGTGAAGTGCCGCCCCTTGAGCCGCTTTGACCTCAAGTAGTCCCCCTCTGCACAGAATTCTGTAAGCGCCACGTCCCTATCTGACGGGATGTCCACGCACTGCATGGCCCCCTGCTCCTTCTCTTTCCTTGACATCGGCCGCAGTCTCACGTACACCATGATCTGTCCCTCCTGCAGCAGCAGCGGCCCATCTCTTATGGGGCTCTCCTCAATAGGTGATAGCGCCAGCCCCTTTGACACTACAAGCGCCCTCTCCATCCCAGCCTTTGCTGCATTCCCTCTCTGCTTGGTGCTGCTTGCCTTTTCGAGGGAGGTCTCAGACGCCTTTGCTTTGAGCCTGGCATTGAACGCCTTGGTGCTGGCGAAGCTCCCAGCCTTGGGCCCTGTTGGCAGGGGCCTGGAAGGGGCCATGGTTGTGCTAACCCTAACCTAACCCCAGCGCGCTCATTGATCAACCCGGTCTTGAGAAAACTGTACCCCGAAAGACGTGGCCCTAGTCTATCCTACTGGTGCCCAGGGGACTTCTGCTACATATGCTGCAGCATGGCTGGCCCTTTGCAGTCAGACACACAAATGTACTCCAGGGTTCTCCCTTGAAAATAGGCCCGCTCCTTCCTGGAGTACATTGCAGCACCATGCTCAGGGGAGTACATTTGCCGCACGAATGTACTACAAGGCAAGTATCTTTTGCTATCCGAGTTCGTAACCCTAGCAAGTGCAGAAGAGACTTGCCATGCACTTCGCTTTTTCAGTCAGAACGAGGTCTCCTCTTTAGTCTTTTCAGAGAAGATCTCCTGCAGCCCACCGTCCCTTGCTTCTGAGCCACGAAGCGATGAAGACCGATGTTCAGGTACATGCTTTTGTGACTCTCAATGGAAAATGCGACCTGAGACTGCCAAATCTCATCAGCGTTTGAGCGTCGCGTGAGCAGCAGAAAATGCGCATTGCGCAGGACGAAGCAGAACAGAGTACCTAAGTGCTGCGCTGAGGAATGGGATTCTGCGTTACGCGTCTCGCTCAGGGTTGGAACCGTTCTGTTCTCAGACTCGTCAACCGAAAGCTCACCTCTGGACGTCCGATCAACGTTTGGACGGCTACGATCCCAGAGTTCTGGTTGAGCCTGTCCAGTATGAATTCAAGTGCGGGGAAACGCACCCAGCCTCTCGCCTAAACTTGCGAGAAGATGAGTCTCTCAATCTGATTCAGCCTAGGCTGAAATTCAGGCCAGTCTTTGCGAAAACCAGCAGCAAGGAAGCCGCAAGCGGCTCTTCTTTGTTCTTTGTTTGCTGTCACAAGGAGCTGTGGATCTGGCTTTTCTCCCTCTCCTTCTCCAGAAGATTGCTGTTTATCCCTTTGCATGGTAATATGCCGTCCACGTGCAGCTAAGTTGGAAGGCAGAGCTTTGACTGAGGCCCAAAGGCATTTGTATCCAATAAAGCAGGATGCCTCGGGCCAGGCCTCCTTTAGCTGATAAGAGCACCAACGAACCGGATGGCCGTCAAGATGCCTCTAATGCAGGATACAAGCGGCTTGTTCGGAGCCTCAAAGACTTTCTGGAAGAAATTGACCATGAGGGTGAGCAATGAAACTTGAAGTTGTTCACGGTGTCTTGACCTGAATCAAGAAGAAAGTTTTGGACAGCTGCCAAGCCCTCCTTCTCTGGATAGTTGCCAAGCCACTCCTTCTCTGCCTCTCTGCCCGTGCTTGTTTCTGTAATCGAGCCCGCAATCTCCGCTGTGCCAAGAAGATGCTTCTTGTATCAAACCATGGACTCAGTTCTTTAGAAAAATTACGCAGGAGGTCCAGACTTGATGGTGAAGAGAGACTGTTTCACAAGAAGCGATGGGCCTTGTCAACCAGGTGATTGCACGTGCAAACAGACCTTCAGCTGTGTGCTTGGCAGCAACAGAGGCTCAAATAGGAAGGGACGCCATCGACCAATCCTGCTTGGTATCAGATTAAGGCCCATTTTCCGAGACAACGGCAGTATACACCTGGTAAGATCTGGTTCATTCATCTACATGTGCAGTTGAGGAGCGGTGCGCAAAGATCATGGACATGGAACAGACCGCGATCCAGGAGCTGCGGGAGCGGCTGACTGCGCTAGTTATGGGCCTGCCAAGCAAGACCCGGAGCATGGCGCTGGTTGCATTCCGGGAGCAAAGTGCCGAGCCTGCAGTAACAATGGGGCAGGTCAATGCGCGGATGCCGACTGGGGGCTCAGTAGCTGCAACTCCAGAGCCACAGAGTAAGCTGCGAGTGTGGCATAGTGCACAACAACTGCTGTGAGATGTTATGAAACCGCTGAGGAGAGGGCGGTGCCACGACAAGCAGGATTTGTTGACGAGTCTGCGGCTTCGGTTGGGCAATGGCTGCACATTGTCTGTGTCTCCGCAGAAAGCAGTCATCTTCATGCTCCAGGGATTGAACTCGAGGAACCTAAACTGCATAAAGTTACCATCTGGTTCGTATTTGGATTGTATGTGTCATATGCAGGGGCACAAGCAACTTACCAACCTAAGGTGAGTGGCTACTTACACCCGCCTTAGTGAAAATCTGGTAAGAATAACCCTTCCACTTTCGTGTGAAGTCCCATCTTCTTCCATCTGCAGGTAAAGGCGGGCACGGCCAAGGGACTGCAGCACCAATTGCTGACATGCCGTCTGTAGGCAGGACAACCAGAGTGAGTTGTGCTCAGGATCTTCCTCAGCGATACTTGCTTGCAACGCCATTGTTCTCGGTGAATATTTTCTCCAGGATTGCAAGGTGTCATTTTAAATAAGTTCCAAGGTTTTGGCACTCTGGCAGCAATCCGCTAACCTTGACCAGTACCCAATAGGGCCACCTTTCAAAATCCCCCTTTTGTAAGACGCCAATTCTACTGATTCATCGGCGATCAAGGCAAGCCTTTATCAGGAAGGTTTCTTCTTTCTCTTGATTAATATAACGGATGACATGATCAGGAGCCTGTGCGTTGCTCGTTCGCCTGCCAGTGGAATGAACCCTCTTTTGCCTGCTGGAAGCTGTTCAGCACAGAGCAGAGTATCAAACAATCCTCTTGTTCCACAATCTTCTAGATGCATTCCCGACACGTATTTCTCGTCATAATCTGTGAGCAAGAACGGGCTTGACAGCTGGCACCTCGGCGTTGGATAGCCGAAGGCCCCCTGTCGTTACCTCTAACGCTCTCTAACGTCATCATATATGCCACTGTTTTATGTACTGTCTGGATTTGCTTACGAAGCCCCAGCTCGTTGCTTTCTATTGTAAGCAGTTCTCTGACACGTTGCTCCGTCATCGTTTGTGTGACAGAAACGGGCGCGCGAGCTGGCTGCCGGAGCAGTTGAGCAACCAGTTCCGGAAACAGGGGGACGAACGCTGCGGCCGCGGCAATCTAACAGTCAAGCCCTGGCGACTCCAGTGGTGAGGAGACAAGCCTCCTCTCAACTCTAAATCGACGTTATTTCTGCGGTTCACTCAACAGGAATCTTCACAGCCCTCCGACGATCTTTCATCATCGAATATCGAAATCTACAATGTCTGAGTCTACCTTGAATGGTATAGACATTTGACCGTTTTCATCTCGAAATTTCTTCCGTCTTGGAGAGGCCTCGCTTCGACAAATCAACAGAGAAAGTTGGTTTCCGCTTTGAAAGCTGTGGCTGCCTTTACGCTTCGTCTCCCATCCCGGAAGAATCGATGTCCAGAAATCAGCTCGTTAGTGGGCAACTCGTCAGGCAGATCTTGAGGAACTGCTCCAGGCTAATGGCAGCGCTTCTGAGCTGGAAGCACTATGCAATACCTACTTATGAAAACCCAACGCTTGCATGAGTTGACTTGCCATGAGGCTTCTGTAAGGTTGCCGTGTATGACTCTGCGGAAGAACATGGACGTCGTGGTCGGCTTCACTTCGGGTTGGCACTTGACATTGCAGCCAGCCTGTCAGATTGTCCAAGTTCGCTGTTCGTTAGTAACGTTCACAGCTAGCGATAATGGTTCCGCGGAAAGCGTAAAATTGGAAATCAAAGTATATGACAGGTCATATATTTTCAGTTTCTGCTTCGTTAAGGAGAATAGAGGGTGCGGTACTCTGGCAATTATTGATGCGAGAGAGGACCATTACGATCAGCATTTCCTCTGCTGACATCTTCGAAGCAAAGTTACCAATAAAGTCTATCTGATCGAAGAAATTGAAACAAAACTTAGGCGACTCTAAATGCACGCTCCCGCTCCTTTCCGCGGTGCAGAGCTCTCACATCCGTGGAAGCAGCAGCACTGCCGCCACGCCCGCAACCGTGCGGCTTCCCCGGCCCAACGAAGCCGTCTTCTCCTTCAACGGGTCCCCCATCGGCAGCTTCCAAGACGGTCTGCTCACTCCGTTGGCGTTCCGGCCTCAGCCTCATGCCACCCCAATGTTGACCGGAATCAGCAGACCTCGCGGCCGGGGACAGTCGGAAGAGCCGGGGGCAGACTTGGCCATCAGCATAGACTTAGGGGGCGGGCGGGCGTTACAAATCAAGAGCGCCCAGGATTTAGACGCGCTGGACTCGGATCTGAAACGGCTTGCATACGAACAAGTGGAAGCTATGAACGCGTTTACTGCAAAGCTGACAGCGAGGGTTTAGGCTGCTGGCGACCCGCGGAAACGGTCTATGCAGCTGCATAGGGTCGCAACAATTAGCCACCAGATGAGCCGTTTGATCTAGGAAGTCGCATTGGGTGTAGCGACCTGGCAGGGAGTAGCGGCTGAGTAACGTTCTCGGGCGATCATGCTATTGGTCGTCTGTTGACGACGTTGTTCCAAGTTCACTAGTCACTTAAGGGCTTGTAAAATGAAGGATTCCGTCGTAATTTTGGTAGCCTTTCCATATCCGCATCAATTGTCGTTTGGTTTGCACATAGTGGTGATTATGCAGATTCAATTGAATCAAATGTGTGCATATGCTAGCTCATGCCAGGTTGATCGGCCAGGTGGGCATTGGCGGCATCACGGCATCGATATCAAACTTACCACTGCCAATGCTTTCAAACAATCGAAGGTGGCCGCCGGCCGGACAGCAAAGTGGTTGTATATGATAAAATGCACCATCGGGCCCCCAAACATGGTGCCACGCGCCAGTGTTCCAGTTGCTCCGTGCCGCTAGTGCGACCCCCGGCCCTTGGCTGGCAGGCGTTCAATTGAACTAGTGTCGGACGAGGCTGGCTGGCACGCCACCTCTCAAACAGCGGGGCAAACTGAGGTACATGCTGCAGGCCCCGCCGGCGGGCTAAGGATCATGCATTAAAGAACTCCAAATGATAAGTTCCAAATGTTTCATGTAGTATATGATATGATCGATTGGGTATACCTCGATTACTGACTGAGCGGGCCGGCCCGCTATATAGTGCTGGCAGCCTTGCACGGGCCCGTGCAAGG